TTCCTCTCACCAAGAGTGCTCCTTCCCCTTAACCCTCTTGGTTTTTTTTCTTTTTTACTTTGCTTATTATTATAAATATTATTATTACAGTTATTATTATATTCATTCGTCATAATTGATGCCCTTTATGCAAACATTCCATCAATACTATCGAATTTTCATTTATACGGACTTATTATTAGTGATATTATCTGTTTTCTTAATATATGCCTCCACCTGTTTCATTTCGCACATTGGTTATTTCATTATGAACCTCTCATTCCAGTCTTACTATCTCCTCTTCAATACATACTACTTTGTACTAGCTACTCACTCACCTGACACCTTTTATAACCTTGAACTGATTTGTCAATTTTCCAACCCCACACTCTACAAATCTATTGTGATTAATCACCACCATTATCTCCAGTTTTACAATATTTTGTAATCGATTTCAGCCAACTAGCACGTTTGTCACACAAACACGACTATTTATTTTGACACCCCATAACTAATCTGTTATTCTACGTAAAAAATGTATCCGCCGCATAACTGGCCTTTATTGTAACGACCACAAATATTATATTTTATAATTGTAAGAACCTGAAGTGGAGAACTTATTGAAAGAATATTCTTCGTTCAGATTGTAGGGATTTGATTGATTGGTTGCAGGATTTCATCATAAGCTGAAATCGGTTAGAGAACCATCGGAAAACTAACTGGGAGTACTGAACACCTGTTTCGTCCTAGTTTGGGACACCTACATAGTACACACCCACCCTGTAAGCAGAAGGTCTTGAGTTCGAACCCCGATGGGCTCATACTGCTGAAGAGTCCCAAACCAAACTGACGAAACAGCTGTCCAGTACTCTCAGCTGGTTTTCCAATGATTCTCTAAGTGATATCAGCTCATAATGAAATCCTGTGTAACCAAAATTTTCTTTATCGACGAAATCATCTTCACAGGCTGTACAGTCGGATTTATATTTACCAAAAATGTACAGTGGTCTACTAGTGAGTAATAGGTAGGGGGGTTACATTGTAACAACAGAAGACAAGGGCCAGGCAACAGATCGTTTTATTATGAAAATCAACACGTATTTATACATATTTCACATACATTATTACAGCTTATGCAAGTAGACAAGCGCAGTCATCTGATTGGTTGTTTATCAGAAGTTAAGCAGACAAACGCAGGCTTCTGATTGGTTGTTTCGGGATTCCTCGACAAATAGAGTTCTCTATCTGCGAATCATATTTTGCCACGTTAAGTCTGCTGTGATTGGTTGTTGAATCAGCCTTGCTCATATTTTCTCACGGCCTGCTCTCACCACAACATAACTGATATGTATATATAATAACTCAGAAGTGGCCTCAGAAGTTGAGTTAAAAAATCAGAAAACATTACGTAATGCTCAATGGCACAAAAGAAAAAAGTGTTAGAAGTTTGATTGGGGTAAATTGTCACTGAGTGAGAAGAAAGGCAGTTGAGTATCCTATTAACATGTGTGAAGAGAGAAAGAGAGAGTGAAGAAATTTACAAAGGGAACATGTGAGAGTTGTAATAGTAAATTATGCTTCACTTTGTAAATTGCTTTGAAGGAGGCATTTGTTGAGATGGAATGACTGGTGTCGGTCGATAAGGTTTTCAATTATCAAATTCCTTACAGAACCACTACTGCCTTTCTTCAACCAAATGGGATTATATTCTTGAACACTTTTAGATTTGATACCCATGGAACGACCAATTTACCTAGCTGGCTCCACAGAAACACGTGAACTGAGATATATGCACATAGAAGTGATCAGATGAGAGATCGTGTCCTTAAGGCTTCCACAGAACAATAGACGACTGGAGAAGACTACTCTCAGAGTTGCTGAGAAGAACATACTTCTCAAAGATGACGAATTTCTCCTTTTAAGGATGCCGAAGATCAAGTGTCGCTTTGAAATCGTCTATTTCTTTATAACTCATACGTAGTTCCATATTTTACCTACGTTTCTTCTATGTGCATCCTGATTAAAACTTACTCATTACATTAGTAATCTTGTCACGTAAATCTAATATACTTATTCAACTCCTTTTATATACTAACTAATATTATCAACTATGTTTGTGACAACTCATCACTTTTGTCACTACCCTCTTTCATGAAAAGGAGGTTGTATATAAATGTGATTGTACAGCTGAAGAGGAGAGAATGAATTCTCTGAAAAGAGTCTCTCTGCTGAACTACTTACATTATTATTTCACAGCATTTTCATGTGTAACGACTAAATGACAAAGGCCGGGAAACAGATCGTTTGTTAAGGAAATCAACAGATATTTATAGATATTTATGAATATTAATATTATTATTCGTTATTGTTAGCAGAGAAGCAACGTCTTCTGATTGGTTGTTTTCTTGCTCAAGGTTATTCTGTACTGCTTATGACCGTCTATCAGAAAGTTAAGCCATATATCTGCTAATCGTATTTGTACACGTTGAGTCTGCTGTGACTGGTTGTTGATTTCCTCAAGGTTAGGCTTTGTTCTTGTTTTTTCCTCATGACCCCGATTTGGGACGTAAAACGTTGACGTCATTTATTGCTTATAATTTCGGCTAGCAGACAGTTCTCACCACACATATAAGGCAGTTCGTTTATTAATAAATATCTTTGAAAAATGCCTGACACTTAGGACAGTCAAACATTTATGGTATTTAGAAAACAGAAAGATTGAGAGAAGAAATATTTACTTTTCATTAACATCCTCATCTCTGGCTCTTTTCTAATATATACCTGTAGAATTTTTATTACAATACACAACAGTTTACCAATTAAGTGAGAGTGATATGCTTGTTAACAATAATTAAACAGTGTCAAAATGTCAAAAATGTGTTCAGAAAAAATTTGTACAGCCACTTTCCTTACCGTGGCCATCGTTACAATAATGCATAAACAGGACTACGTCGCCTCCCTTCCCTAAGCATTTAAAAACTATAAAAATTATTTAAGTGTTGGTTTGTAGGGATTTGACTGGTTTCAGGATTTCATCATGAGCTGACATTAGTTAGAGAACCATTGGAAAACCTGGGAGTACTGGACAGCTGTTTCGTCAGCCTAGTTTGGGACTCTTCAGCAGTACGCACCCACCACAGTGGGGTTCCAACCCATGACTTTCCGGTTACAAGGTGAGCTCGTATACCATTAAGCCACTGGGACCCGATCCAATGGTCCTTGAATTCTAACTTCTGCCAATTCACGACATAGCGCGACTGGCACTAGCCAATGTCTTCGCTGGCGAGTATTTGTCCTCACACCCGACCAGCTGCACCCTACTGGTCACGACTTCCCACTGGAATCCAGGTAACTACCTACCTGAATAGGGCGAGTCGCCAGTGAGCATCTCATTGGTATTTAAGTGTTGGTTTGTAGGGATTTGACTGGTTTCAGGATTTCATCATCTCCTAGGTTTTCCAATGGTTCTCTAACTAATGTCAGCTCATGGTGAAATCCTATAAAAATTATAATTGTCCAAATTATTTTATTTTTTAGTTCTTCTGACCACTTCACCTCTAATTTACGTGTTATCCTTGTAAAATTAATTCATTCTAACCATTTCTACCTTTTAAATGTGTATTGATTTCCTTCGTTAATTGTCACCCCATTGACATTTTGACACTGTTTAATTATTGTTAACAAACATATCAGTGCCACTTGACTGGTGAACTGTTTGTTGTATTGTAATTAAAATGCTACGTATATATATTAGAGTAGAGTCGGCCGTACCCAGCGTTCGCTTTCCAAGCGTATCACCGAACACTTACCAACATGGTTTTACAAAGGAGAAAAACGATGTCCCCGCAGCTCCATCTTAGAACATCTGATAGAATCCGGACACCAAGCTGCACCCCAAACAAACTTCAAAGTCGTCTACAAAATACGACGTAGTCTTCCTAAAGGTGTATGAATCACACTTCTTCAAACTGCAAAACCAATGACAATTCACTCGCTAAGCCCTGAACTCTGCATACAGAAGAAGTTCGTTCAATCACTACACTTGCAATGGACTTAATCTATCTCATTACACGACAAGTAAATTCTACCTAATCCTTTTCTCTTCTGTCTCTTCATTAGTATTATTTTGTCTTCTCAATTGTAATATTTTGCATTTTCAACATTTCTGTTCTCTACCCCAACCGATTTAATTTCTACACCTCACTTTCCCTGTTACTGACTTGACCAACGCTCAATTTCTAGTCATTATTGTTACATCATCTAATTTATCTGCTCAGCTTTAGTCCTAATCTAAGAGGCATTATTATCTACCCCAATTCTACTTAGTCTCTCTCTCTACAAACAAAGAAGAAAGAGGTAAGACAAAATTACGTATTTGGTGTTAAGATAGATCAGGACCATTGTAGATTTAGTGACTGAACAAACTTCTTTTGTATGCAGAGTTCAGGATTCAATATGTGAATTGCCATTGCTTCTGCAGTTTGAAGAAGTTTAATTCGTACTCTTTTGGCAAGATTTCCACGTATTGTGTAGATAACTGAGAAGTTGTTTTGTGGGTTTGCTTGGTGTCCGGATTCGATCAAGTGTTCTAGGATGGAGCTGTGGCTGGGGGATCTTCTTTCTCCTTCATAAAACCATGAAGGTAAGTGTTCGCTTTAGTTGTTGTCTGATTAACCTTGTTTCTCTATTAGATCATTCTTGTATTACCTGATCAATTATCTAAACTTGACAAACCTCATGTACACACACACACACAAAATAATTATATATAAATGCGATTGTACAGCTGGCTATGTGAATGAATTCGCCATCGAAAAGAGTCTCTTCGCTGAACGTCTTCTCTTTTTCATATGACTCAATAGTGATTTTCAAGCTACTCAAAAGTATTACAGTAGAGCCAGAGTGAGATGGAGGATCTAATTGATAAGTAAATATTTCTTCGCTCGCTCAATCTTTCTGTTTTCTAAATGTCTAAATTGGGATTTTTTCTATATTTATAGTGCTGTTTTATTCCTTTTCAGATAATCCTGAAACTGTCTTCATTCATCTTCAGCCTATTGATTCGCAAACTGCTAATATCTTTCAGCTGAATAATTTGAATTACGTAAGTTGAAGAGTGTTCAATCATTGTTGTTGTTTTTGTTTTAATGTTCTTTTGTTTTTATTGTCTTAAAATATTCCAAATTTTTGATTTTAAAAATGCATAAATTACTGATATTAAATGGTTGAATGCAGTCGGCCACAAGAAGCCTTGCTTGACTTAGGTTCCATGCTTATTGGCACACATCAGCAAGTCAACTCATGTCCCTTCTGAGAGGGACTCAAACCCACGTCATCCAGTGAGTGCTGCAGTCAGAGACGTTACCACTGAGCTATTCAGGATCGCGACTGACCTCCTGTAGATCTGTTAACTGTTGGGCTGTTAACTGGTTACATTCCTATTTCTCAGAAAGAAAGCAGTACACCGTGTATAAAGGGAAGTCTTCCACTTCATTGCCTACTGAAGCTGGTGTCCCTCAAGGCGCTGTTCTTTCTCCTTTTCTTTTTTCTTTCTTCTTGCATGACTTGCCTCACTCTGATGAAATAAACTTTGTGAAGTACGCTGATGATTTAACGGTTTCAATGGCTGTTAACTCCCAGCTAGATTGTACTAAAATAAATAGCTTTCTATCGGAAGTCAGCAAATGGTCTGAGTCTAACGGTCTTAAACTGAATCCTTCTAAGTGTCAAACTGTTGATTTCAGCTTAAGATGTAAACGACAGTTAAAAGAAGTCATCGATTCTCATGACAGTTGTAAAATTGACGACAATGATATAGGAATCAAATCAGATATTAAGTATCTTGGACTCGTTCTCTCTTCTGATCTCTCCTGGTCTTCCCATGTCTTAGCAATCTCCATTAAAATATTCCGCCTGACATTTTACATTAAGAAGTTAAGACACTCGGGTATAACTCAACCCCTCCTCTTACAGTTCCTAAACTCTATTCTTCTTTATTGTTCACCCTTATTCTTTCCTGGTTTGCTTAAAAAGGACTATGTAACAATTCGTAGAATGCTGAAGACGGTCAGTAGGGTGAGTGGTGTCCCAGTGGACCACATATTTCACGTCGTTGTCGATGGGCACTTGACTTCTTGCAATAAATTTGCTAAAGGGATTTTGTCTGACTTGGAGCATCCACTTTACCCTCAGCTTTCACCTTGCATCTCCTCAGGTAGGACAAGGAGTAACTTCAGAAAATTGTATGCTCGCACGTCTAAGTATTGAAATTCTATGATACCATACTTGGCACATATTTTATGTGATGAAAATAGTGTCAGGCAAGAATTAACTAACCTTTTTTCATCTAGTAAATTAACAATTTCCTCCATCCATCCTTATATACCTTGAAGTTTTACTTTTATTATTTCTATTACACTTATGGTCCTGTTACTTCTTTGTTTTACTCTCATAATTGGAATCACCAAATTGTCTCCATGACTGATGTAATCTTTGTCTTTCCCCTCACCATATCATGTAAAGAGAACATTATATTCAATATTTTTAAGCATGTTGGGATTTCTATACCGCATTCACAATACTGTGTGAAACAAGCCCACAGTAATTTTCACTTGTATTATTATTATTACCTTAGCTGTTATCATTATTATTGCTATTTCCATTTTATATGCTGCATGTTTTTGACACTACCTCGACTGTAAACGTGGAAGATTTTCTCTGTGATTAATTTTATTTGTAATTTGAGGAAATGAGATGCAATATTGTGATTAACGCTGAGAATTCTATTCTGTATCTGATAGGATCCCACATATTTTGGTATTGACTGTTTAAACTTGCATATATGGTATGTTATCATTCTCACGCATTTTGGTAGTGACTGCTAATTTTGTATATATGGTATATTATCATTCTCACACATTTTGGTAGTGACTGCTAATTTTGTATATATGGTATATTATCATTCTCACACATTTTGGTAGTGACTGCTAATTTTGTATATATGGTATATTATCATTCTCACACATTTTGGTAGTGACTGCTAATTTTGTATATATGGTATATTATCATTCCCACACATTTTGTTACTGACTGTCAACCTCGCACATATGGTATATTATCATCTCTCACGCACTTTGTTATTGGCTATTAAGATAAATTATTTCAAATGCTGTTAGCTATCCATATTGTTGTAAAATGTATAAATACCATGGCTTTCTTTATCGTTGTTGCACTTCAATACACAGTCACAGTCCAGCCTTTGTCTTTTCATATTTGCGTGCTTGACTAAGTCGGAAGGTACGACGAGCAGATAGACAGATTAGTTCAGGCGCAGACAGAATAAGGTGAAAACGTCTTCATTCAATTCCCTACAGTTATAACAAATTGGCGACGGGGTTTACCTTGATTCAGTGCAGTTATAACAGTATCACAAGTACTGTTTTTGGAATAAAGGAAATGATTACCATTATTATTAAAAAACTTACATTCGACACTAATAAATAACTAGTGTGATGTGTCTCGTTCTATCGTTAGTACAGCCTGAATTAATATTCTTGTATAATTCTTATTTTTTTAGTTACCTATAAGTAATACTGATGAGAATGCAACAAGTCAAGGTCAACTAGACTTATCAGCCAATAAGAATCCAGTCTATCCAGATTGCGAATCCCTTAGTTTTATATTATGTGTACCATGTTTAAATGTTGCGCCACAAAATGAAACTGATCACCATAGTAATGAAATAAACAAATCATCACATCCTATTCTTCATTTCACTGATCTTCTTCAATATCTTATTGATTTCAATCAAACTAATCAATCTTCTATTAATATTATCTCAGTGAAATGGATAAGTTTGCGCCAGCTTACTGATATTCATCGAAAATTGATTAATGATTTGCTGTATATGAATAATACTCATAAAAGTATGCAACAATGCTTAAATTTATTCGATGCATTATCTTTAAATCAACATAATAATAACAGTAATGATCAATGTTCAATTGGTTGTGTTTTAATTCACGGTGAAAATTTACTACACTGTTTAACTAAATGGTTTAATTCAAATCAAATTTATTTTACTTTGGATTTATTAAGTGTTAAAAAGTAAGTTTTAATTAACATTATCAAACTGAGTGGTTGAATATTATTGAAGTTTAGAAATTATTTATTTATTGGGAGACGGAAACCGTTGAGTCTTTCATAGAGTCATAGTTTTCTATTTGGTCTTAAGTCTGGAAAAGAGAGAAGGTTGGGAGTGGAGTGAAAGTAGCAACCCCCCTCCCAAGCTAGAAAACCAAACAACTTTATCGACTCAGAAACAAAAGACATAAAGTTACTCTTCACTAGAGTCAGAAAAAATTTGGAGTACTCCGTAGTGTTGAAGCAGTTTCCAGTTTCGCGGCGAGCGCTCTCTGTTGAAGAGCTTTTCGAGGTCCAAATTGTTTTGGCTGGCGGATCAGTGCATCTTTTATTCTCTCCAGGATAGTGCGATTTAGTGTTTTACTTGGCGTGGACAAGAGGATTATTCCACGCCAGTCAGTTCTTGTACCGGCCTAAGTCGCCCTTCTTTGGCAGTTTGACGAGGCAGCCAGCCTTTCTTGCAATCGGTAGGTTCCTTTCCTTCTTTCCAAACCTTTTTCAATAATGATGTAGGCGCATCTGCCACAGTCTCTGGGTCCACTTTCAGTGCTTCCGAAGGGAGGAATGACATCTTGTCCTACTGCCTTCCCAACTGGCCTTCAGTAGCTTGATAACATTCAGAATTTCTTCTTTCGTTGGAGGATTGGTGCTCACTCGCAGGCAGGTCTGTGCGTACTGTTGTTGTTAGTGTTTCTGGGTGAGTTGCAGGTGATGGTCGATTCAAGAGTCCTTTGAAGTAATCAGTCCATTGTTTTATTTGTTTGTCCCACTTGGTAGTCAGGTTCCCTCGAACACCTTTTATTGGTTACATCATCTGAGTTGATCTCTACCTGGTCATCTGATATAATGTTCTGAGGTCTCTTTTACCTGCCGACTGCCTGTTCTACTTCACTTGCCGGCAAGTGTGTTGTAGAATTGTCTCTTGTCTTTCCTCAGACTCTTCTTCACTTCTTTATTTATTTTTTTTATGTTTTTGATTTACAGCTTGATTCCACACTGTATTTTTAGTACAAGTATGGAATTTTCAGTATAGATATCGGTAGCCCAAATTTTGCAGGTCAACCATAGATATCAGGTGTGCGCCGGCGTGGGCTCGAACCCTGGACCATGTGCATGGTCGGCGAGAGTCCTAACCACTGTGCCACCGACGCACAGTGCAGTGTACATTGAACTCAGCTTCTCCTTCTGCTGTCCATCTTTACACTGAGTCATCTCTTTCACCATCCTCCTCTTCTCCCTTCTATTAGCTTCCGAGTAGGTGACAAATGTGAGCCATCCCTTATCTTGTCTCTTCTTTCACCCTAGAACAGTTGTGCACGTTTCTTTGATCATCATCTTCAGAAAGTTCCAATGTTCTTCCACACGGATTTCTTTAGTGACGCCAAGTAGTGTCTCTGACTTTACTCTGATCTGTAGTAAAGGCATCCCTCGCAGTTTTGTCCTCCAGTCCAGTTTCAGAGTGTTCAACTTGTTTAAACTTTGGTATTTCTCCAGTTGTTCTGAGGGATTTCAATTTCACCTTGAAAGTTCACCTTGAACTAGGTGATAATTTTAACCCGTATATCCTCCCCTTCTCGACTCTATGCCCAGCAGACTAACTGTGCCTCCACTTCCCTGAGCAGCACTGAGCTGAAGTCTATCTGGTTTGTGGTGTGTCTATTCATGTTGTTTTGCGTATATCATGTGTTTGTACACGTTGCCTCCAATCACGAGATCATTGAAAGCACAGAAGGCTGTGAATAATTTTCCGTTCTCATTCATTTCTCCGACTGACAGCCTCTCGACCCATGATGAGTTCTCTTCCTGTATTTCTGCTCCCATTTCAGCTGGCATTCATGTAGCCCATGAGGATTTTGATGTCACCATTTGGGATGCTGTCCATTACTGTTTACAGTTTCCCTAGAAATCTTCCTTTTTTCTCTCGTTCTGAGTTGTTTGTAGGTGCGTAGCATTGGGACATTGTAACCCTCATTCCTTCCTTTTGAGTTGAATCTTTCTATCATAATTCTGTAGGAGGACATTGGTTCCTATTGCATTAGGACTCTGACTATTGTTGATGACATCATCACAGACACTCCCTCTCTCAGTGTGATCGTGGTTTTCGTCTGGGTGACCAGACCGGAGTAGATTACTGACTCAGCGGCTGACAATTTGGCTAGTCCACATCCATTCCATCTGCTCTCATAGATACCAAGCAGTTCTATATCATATCTTCTGGCTGAGAAGACTTCCCAGCTAGCTTAAGACATTGTACGTACATTCCATATCCCCATTCTAACACTTACTTTCATCGAGAGAAGGCTCATCGGCTGGCTGGCTGGCTGGCTGACTGAATTCTTGAAGGCTTTCATCATCAGCCCACGTCATTTCGGCTCTCCGATTCCAGTGAAAAATAGGTTTGCTTTTCTAAAAATATTTTGCTAACCTCAAACCCAACCTTCCCTCTTTTCCTGGATTTGGGACCGGCTAGAAAACTAACGAGCTAGTGAACTATATATATATATATATATATATATATATATATATATATATACATATATAGTTACTGTTATGATGCTAGCTCTTTGTCTCAAGGTCACTGCTTAATTACTGACCAGTGCCCACTTAACTGGTAAAGCAGAACACGCGAGAATCAGCGGTAAAACCAGAATCATTTATTTATGACAAAAGTAACTGTATTTATACAAAAATAAGGTAGACTGGAAATCAACCAATCCGGTTGAGAGTTTGGAATTGTGCAAGCGTCCAATCAGAAAGCAGAAACAAATGCATGTCAACGACACGCTAATAACTTGACTGAGACATGATAATGACCTGATAATTGCATGTGTTTTCGCCTCTTCCTAACAGTTACAAATTCATAACTGCAATAAACAGAAAGGAGGAATGAAAGTATACAGATTAAATTATGAAGCCATGTGAGAATACACTGATATAATATGAGGCACAGAATTTTCACGAAACGTTATCCAGTTAATTATTATATCTGTGTATTGTATCAAATCAACTCATATAATAGGGAATTTAGAAAAAACAACAGATTTAACGAAGAAATATGTTCCTATTCAGTTAGTTCCTCATAATCGGTTCTGCCTTAATACATAGTTGTATTTTACATCACAAATTTTTTACCAGTCAAGTGGTGATCTTAGTTAATCAATTTTAGGTATAGGGTAAGTTCATTGTCGAATTTCTGAACATCTCACATCTTGGTTTGGTAAAGGTCGGAATAAAGACGGTATTATACACAGCTCGATACTAGCTCATGTCATCGATAACTCGACATCAAGCTAATTCTAACAAAGTTTCTAATGTTATTTATCGTATTTCACCCAACCTCTTGCATGATCTAGGAGTAAGAATTTTATCTGCAACAGAGGAGCAATTCAAATTCATCTGAACAAGCCAAATCTTTTTGTACTCAAAAGGAATGTACACAGCTTCTTTCTTTGCCATGGTCACCAACATAATATGCAATTAGTTTTAAAAAACAATTTTCACCTCTCCTTTTAAGTATCTTTTGACTTTGTTATTTTTACAATTCTAGCTAGTTGTATTTAACTTGTTTGTTGCAGGATTTCATCAAGGAACTGATATTGGTTAGAGGACTATTGGGAAACCTGAGAGCACTGAACAACCAGCTGTTTCGTCCTCCTACTAGTTTGGAACTCTTCATTAGTACATACTCACTACCAGGGTTCGAACCCAAGACCTTCTGGTTACAAAGTGAGGTCGTAGGCCATTAATCCATTGGGACCCGATCCAATGGTCAGTGCATCAATTCAGACTTCTGCGAATTCACGATACAGCGTGACTGAAGCTAGCCAATATTATCCGTGGCGAAAATTTTCTCTCACACCTGACCTGCTATATCCCACTGATCAGTGACCATGACTTCCCAACGATAAAGATGTCAAGTACTCCTGGGATTTCCAATGGTCGTCTAATCCCTGTCAGTTCACAGAGAGTTCATGAAACCAAAGAAATCTCTGCAAACCAACACTTGAATAACTTGACTGTATTTTAAGTAATTCTTCTTAATCATTAAAATTTTACAAATTTCTTGATTATGTAATAATTTGCTGCTAATCCCTACGATTTAAATGATCTTGAATCATGTGATTAATTAAGTTGTACTCCTCTTTCAACACTTAGAGATCTTGCTACTAACATCTATTAGTTATATGAAAAAGAGAAGGCGTTCAGCGAAGAGACTCTTTTCCACGGCAAATTCATTCACATAGCCAGCTGTACAATCGCATTTATATATAATTATTTTATTTGTGTGTGTCTGTGTGTACATGAGGTTTGTCAAGTTTAGATAATTGATCAGGTAATATAAGAATGATCTAATGTAGAAACAAGGTTAATCGGACAACAACTAAAGCAACTAAGATTGAGTTGGTAAGTTAGATGACGTAATATAATTGACTGAAATGTTTCCACTTAGGTCAGGATAGCAACAGAGGTAATGACAGGTAGAGAGAGAGACTAAGTAGAAGTGGGGTAGATAATAATGCCATTTAAATTAGAACTGAAATTGAACAATTAACTTGGATGACGTAACATAAATGACTAGAAATTGAGCGTTGGTCAAGTCAGTAACAAGGAAAGTGAGGTGTAGAAATTAAATCGGTTGGGGGTAGAGAACAGAAATGCTGAAAATGCAAAATATTAGAATTGAGAAGACAAAATAATACTAATGAAGAGACAGAAGAGAAAAGGATTAGGTAGAATTTACTTGTCGTGTAATGAGATAGATTAAGTCCATTGCAAGTGTAGTGATTGAACGAACTTCTTCTGTATGCAGAGTTCAGGGCTTAGCGAGTGAATTGCCATTGGTTTTGCAGTTTGAAGAAGTGTGATTCGTACACCTTTAGGAAGACTACTTCGTATTCTGTAGACCACTTTGAAGTTTGTTTGGAGTATAGCTGTAGTCTTTTCGCTGAACGTCTTCTCTTTTTCATATGACTCAATGGGGATCTATTAGTAAATTGATTTGAAGACTTTGAACCTCTTAATTTTACCCTCTCCTTATACCTAAAACTGAAGGACTAAAATAACCATATGATTAGTACTATTTTGGTGTAAACAGAATTTATATAGTAGTGTACAGCTAGTGATGAGGAGCTAACTGAAAAGAGGAGCATATTTCTTTGTTCATTTTATTATGTGTTTTTTAAATATGGAATTTGATATGTATCCATATATATATATATATATATATATATATATATATATATATATATATATATGGTGGTCTCTCTTTCTGTTGCTCTCTTAGTCTGTGACCATTTCACTTTGATGAACCTGTCTCCTTTAACAATGTATATTCCCCTTATATTATATATAATATGTGTGTTTGTTTGACATGTCTGTTATATTTGCTAGGTGTATATGGATCGATATTCCATTATAATTAGCCAATCATGTTAAGACTGTCTATTGATTTGTTGACACACTTGGTTGGACATTCATATATATTTTGCTCTCACACTATTGTGTGATACATTTGATTCTCCTGGTGTTTTGGAAAATAGAAGTATCATTGCCTTAACCTAGTGGTCTTCTGATTTCCGTCTTTCTTGCGTCAGGACTATTAAATTCTCGACCAGTACATAACAATAATTTGGCGACGAGTATATAACAGAATTATCATTCTTTTTTGAACTTTATTTTTACACAAATTTTCTTTTGTTTTTTTTAAGGTTATCTGAGATATTTTTCAGTTCAACTGAACTTTGTACATATTTTGATTATACCACAAGATGTCAAATAAACAATCAACTATCTACTTTACCTGATAAGGAGTAAGTTTGGCGTTTTCCAATAAAAGAAGACAAGTTAGTGTAACAGATATTGTTGCTAAAAATTTTCATATTATTTTGTGAATGAAATATAAAGCGGAGAAGATTGTTCTCTATTCGACAAATTCATGATACAACATAGACTCATTAACATTGAGGTGAAGTTAGTATGTGTGTGTGAATAAAAAGTAGATTCTATGATTGATTAGAGGGATATATGGGAAGTCGTGAAGAATGAGGTACACAAGGTCCAGTTTGAGGACAAATACTCGCCTCGGATGACATTCGCTAATGCATTATTATTATTATTGTTCCCTTGGGATCCGAGTGGAATATATGGCTTTAACAACATATCTCCACTTTGTTCTATTTTCTGCCGTCCTCTTCAGCTGAGTCCACGATTGACCATAATCTCTCATCTCCTTCAAAGCACATGATCTCCTCCATGTCACCCTTGCACTGACGACTCACTCGTTACTTCCCATTTAGATTCTAGTCGAGCGATAGCCTGGAGCGTGATGTCATTCGATGGTTTCCATCTCCATTTTATCCTACATATTTGTTGAGTGATAGGATCTTGGTTGGTTTGTTGCCAGCCAGCCAGAATTTCTTGTTACTAATTCTCTCTGGCCATTTGATCTTCAGTATGGAGCCAGTGAAGGCAGCCATTGATGAAAGTCTTCAACCTGTTGGAAATTTATTTCGTTACTTGCTGGTCAAGTTTCTGACCCGTATAGAAGGATCGACTTGGCAGTGGTGTTGAAAATGTGAATCTTGTTCCTTATGCTGAGTGTAGACGATTTCTAAACTGGTTTCAGGTTGATGAAAGCGTGGTCGCGCAATATCATGAGTTGGCAGAAGTTGGAATGCATGGAACATTGGATTGGGTCCCAATGGCTGAATGGTTTACGAGCTCGCCTTGTAACCGGAAGGTCATGGGTTTGAATCTAAGTGGGTGCGTATTGCTGAAGAGTCCCATGCACTAGGCTGAAACAACTGGCTGTCCAGTACTCACAGACCTTCTAATTGTTCTCTAGCTGTCGTTAGTTCATGATGAAATCATGAAACCAGTCAAATTCTCGCAAAGCAACACTTGATAATGCAGAAAAAACTGACAGTTTTAAATGTTAGATTATATCAGTTGTTATGATACAAATAAATATTCCTACTGACCAATCACGTTCCAGTTTACTTTGATTAGATACTAGTTAGTAATTAGTCTAATGTGTCTAGTCCTTTGTTTTGCTACTGACTGAATTAATCTGCCAGTCAAGTTTGCAGTGTGGCCATCATACCACAAGGTGGCTATCCATCACAAAGTGCTGTGATTTCTTGGTATCAGATGGTTGGAGACAATCGGTGGAAAGCATTGGAACTAAGTTTTGTGTTAGCTCTTACTCACCAGTCAGTAAGGTGTACCTTCAACCTTGAAAGAAATCATGTCTCTTGTGGGATTCGAACCGAAGACGTTACCACCACTGAACTATTCCAGTCCGCAAATGATCTCATATAGGACTGTATTGGATACTTTGGTTCAACAGTCAGAATTCAGTCTACACCACACAGAGGAGTAGATATACTACACTAGTTACTAACTAGTGTCCAATCAGATATGGTGGAGAAAATTTGTAGATCATATGGATGATTTTGATGTAGATGTGTTTTCTGAGCTGAATTGAAGTATGCGCTGAAGATGTCACCTATTAGGGCAATGAGAGCTTCTCAAATAAATCATTCAGCTAAGGGAACGTAGCTAATACAGTCATACGGGAGGTCCTTCGCGAGCCCGATTAGTTCAGTGGTAACGCCAGTGACTGCAGCACTGGATGACACGGGTTCAAACCTCTGAAGGGACATGAGTTCCTTCAAGACTGCAATTACTCCATGCTGACTCGTAAGTGCCAACAAACACTAACCCTAGGTTGAAGGATTCCTATTGATTTCCTTGAACCATCTAATACCACGTTCTAGTTTATTTAATAGTAATAATTTACTGTATTCCCAAACCTTACTTTAGATACAGTGTGGAATTCTCAGCATTTCGTAAAATATCGCATCTAATTTACTCGACAAAAGCAAAAACAAATGCAATAAACAATATTACAGGATTGATATTGGCAGTCGTTTTGGTATTCTCGGTGACAATAAAGTCAGAAATGTACAAGAAGTGTAGCATGATAATAAGAATGTTAATAGCTGAAATTATAAGATTATAGGAGAAGAAGAATAGTCGAATCAGGTGACTTCTGAATCAAATAAATCACACAATTCACCAAGGTAGTAACTATGAGTCGATAGAATGATCAATTTTCATTAGTAGCCTGTCAGAGGGGCGATAACTAAACAAGAAAATTACGATAGCATTTAAAGGATAGAAGCAATTACACCTAAAATAAATTTGGAAGATCGTAGCAGTTGGTTACGTAATGCCCATTTAGGATGACAAAAAATAAGTCTGGATATGTACAGACAAGAACCAACGTTATCCAGAAATCAGTGAAAAAAACCAGGGAGCACACTGGAAACCTTTTTCGTCATAGTTTGGGACTGTTCATCAGTTATAATAACTATTATTCCTTTGGGTTCCGATTGGAAAATACGGCTTCAACAACACATCTCTCTCCTTTTCTTTTTTCTTTCTTCCTACACGACCTGCCTCATTCAAACGAAACTAACTTTGTCAAATATGCGGATGATCTGACTGTATCACTGCCTATCACTTCCGAGTCTGACAGCTCCAAACTTAATAGCTTTCTGCTGGACATCAACAAGTGGTCTAAGTCAAATGGTCTTATATTAAATCCTTCCAAATGTCAGGTAGTTAGTTAACTTTACTTTCAAGCATCGACGTGACTTACATGAACTAGTTAGTTCGCATGATGCCTGTAGCATAGATGGCACGGAAATTGAAACTAAGTCAAGCATTAAATACCTTGGATTAGTTCTTTCCTCTGACGTTTCATGGTCATCCCACATCTTATCTATCTCTAAGAAAATGTTTCGTCTTACCTTTTACATTAAAAAGTTAAGACAATCGGGTATCAACCAACCTTTAGTTTTGCAATTTTTAAACTCCTGTATTTTACCTGTTGTACTCTATTGCTCTCCATTAATCTTTCCTGGGCTTCTCAAAAAAGACTATATCATATTATGAAGAGTATTAAATGCTGTGAGTAGGACTTGTGGCCTGCCACTGCGTGAACTCGCCAATACTATAGTCGAGAGACACATAAATTCCTGTACAAAATGGAAAAAGGCTACACTGTCAGACCCTCTGCACCCCCTTTATTCACACCTGTCCCCTTGTATCTCATCAGGTAGGATGAGAAGTCAATATAAAAAGTTATATACTCGTACCACTAAGTATAGAAATTCTACAATACCCTATTTAGCCCGTACTTTATGTGATGAAGACTCTGTTAGACGTGAAACACATAAGTTACTATGTAATTAGCACAGTAAATCGACCCTCTCATAGTTCATCTTTCTGTATTTTATGGTGTCACACTTTCTGTCGTTTAATTATTACTCTGCTATTTTATGTTAGTTGGTATTACTATTACTAATATAATTTTATACTTTATGCATATTTTTCTCCGTATTGCATACAGTATTTTGCTATGTAGCTGCTGTAACAATCGTTTTATTATTATTATTATTATGTAACGTGTATTTATAATTTTGTTTTGTCGTTTTTGAGTAAATTGGATGCAATATTGTACTGAATGCTGAAAATTCCTTGCTGTATCATCAGTACTGTTTTTGGAATAAAGCAAAAATTACTATTATTATCTCCACTTTATTCTAATTTCTGCTATCCTCTTTAGCTAAGTCCATGAATGCCCATGATCTCTTATACCGTCTAACTCACACGTTCTCCTCCATGTCACTCTTGAAGTGATGACCCTGTTGGATTCCATGAGATTCTGGAGTGAGATTTCACATAGACGGTCTCCTCAGAGTATGCCCAGCCAACTTGTTGAACAATAGGTTCTTGGTTGGTTTGTTGCCTCAGTTTCTTCTTAGTAATTCTTTCTGGCCGGCTGACCATTTGATTTTCAGCATAGAGACAGTGAAAGGCAGCTGCTGCTGCGGCTGGTTAGAATTCTACAATATCTAGCTGGCAATGTTTTCCACGATGCGCTAGCCATGTTTCTGACTCTTATAGAAGAACTAACTGACTTAACATGTATTCTGCAACTCCGAATCTAATTCTTTCTACCTGTTAAGTGCAGAAGATTTACAAACTAGTTTCAGGATGATGATGATGAAGAAGTTTCTTGCCTGAGACTTTCAGGCAAGGTTGAATGACCTAAACCCAGGATGTGTTCACAAATTAAAGATTTCGTCGTCATATGCTCATCTTTCATTCACCAAACAGGGTGGTAGTGTTCAGTCACGCGTTTAAGGAGAACACACTTACAACGTCCAATGTTGTCAGCTCTACACGAGCATGTGAATGAGTATATGCACATTGAGGTGGACATAAGCGATAGATTATCCTTAACTTACTGTCGAGTCATATTTCGGCTGGTAAATACCAAATGTAAGTCAGCTGTATGAAGAGAGCGTTTAATACATTTAGATAAACGACTTTTAGTTACTTCAGAAATAATGTCACTTTTGAACGCCAAACTCATAAACAGTTTCTTCTTTGGCCTTGTGATTTGGCTGTGGATGGTGTCTTTCTTAATGTTTCTGTCGATAAACCTTCCAGGATATCCATTATTTAAAAGAGTTGTGAGAAGGCTTTCTATTTCTATGCTGAGCATATCTGCAGAGCAAATTTTGCGAATTCTGGAGCATGGAGAACGGATAATATTTCTCTTCTTGTCTAGATGTACCCAACTGTTGAAGTTAGTATACTGACCTGTAGATGGTGGCTTTCCATAAATCGACCTTTTCAACTTGCCATCTTCTCTTCTACCTAGCATCACAACCAAGAAGTGAAATGCGGAATTCGACTCTTCTTCGATGGTTGAGAACCACTAAATTTTCCAAGAAGCTAAGAAGTTGAACAGTTATCGCCATAAATAATAAAAGTATAGTATGCCTGAGACTTTCAGGTTTAAAAAACACCAATCTTCTCGATCATTTAGCCATTCAGTAATGTCTATTGTGTTGTGATCAAAGAATGCCTACTAAGCGTAGGCGGTATATCATGAGTTGATAAAGTTGAAATCCATAGGTTACTGAATCCCTGTCATACAGGGCTGGACGATCAACGAACTTGGACTCATTACCCAAAAGTCTTGGGTTCGTAGGCTTATAGGGTAGTGAGTGTACTCTGCTGATATTTACCACTATACTAGAATGAAATAGTCACTCAGTTCTCCCCGGTTTTTAATGATTTCTGTAACTGATATTGGTCTTTACAAAATCTTCACTGAAGTTATTCCAAATCCCCAAATTACGAAGATACTTAGTGATGATGCTACTGTTGAAAGACTTCTTTGACCTAGTTTGAGATTTTCCAGGAGGAGTCCGTTATTAATCTACACCATAAGGATTGACCCCCAGGGACTTGAAATTGAAAAAAACATTATGCTGGAATTTAATTATCTGTGAGTTTTTCAAGTTTTGATTTTGTAGGGTTATGTTTCATCAGATTGGAGGATGTCATCACATCAACCATTGGAAAACCTGGTGGGTGCATACTGATGAAGAGTCTAAAACCAGGACGAAATAGCTGACTGTGCAGTACTCCCTATTGCTTTTTCAATGGTTCTCTAATTGATGTCGGCTCATGATGAAATCCTTCAATCCTATCTATGAATTTATTTAAGCAACCAAACATCATAGATGAATACACTCATTAGTAATACTAATAATAATTTTTAGGGCGCTTTTTAACTTGAGCGCCTAATTTATTTTAAAAAAAACATAATGTTGTTATTGCTTTTTACTCAAAACAGACAATTTAAACATGTTTGGAATGAAATAATCAATACTTTAGTGAATCATAAATGGTGTATAAAAGAATGCTGTCTTCAAATAAACTATCAGCATCATCACCATCATCCGGAGAAGTTTATATCCTCATCTGACTGGTTGAAAAATTTATGTCAAATACTGAAAATTTTGTTGAATGAAGGTGAGACTTTTACTGGATTTGTGTGCTTCTTTTTCTTTCGAAGTAAATATTTGTAGTTTATATATTTCAATTTCTATAGTTCTGAATGCAATCTAGATGCTAAAAGCTGGGAAAGCACCAGGACCAGATGGAATCCCAGCAGAAGCTTTGAAAATAGACCAAGAGACAACAGCGGACTTGATGACGCCACTGCTCGAGAAGGTGTGGAAAGAGGGCAAAGTACCCGAGGATTGGAAGAACGGATACTTATTCAAACTTCCAAAGAAAGGAGACTTAAGTCAATGTAAAAACTGGCGTGGAATTATGCTTCTGTCAATTCCAAGCAAGATACTAAGTCGCATCATCCTGGAGAGAATCAAACAAGCCCTAGATGAAAAACTTCGTCCGGAACAGGCCGGATTCAGGAGAAACAAATCATGTATTGATCGAATCGCCACTCTACGGATCATCATTGAACAAAGCTTGGAATGGCAGTCACCTCTCCACCTCACTCAACTTCATCGACTTTGAAAAGGCCTTCGACAGCGTCGATCGAGAGGTCATTTGGAAACTACTTCGCTACTACGGGGTCCCATCGACAATTACACATCTCATCCAACAGTTATACGACAATGCTGCATGCCAAGTAATCCACAACGGGAAACTTACGGAATCTTTCGAAGTTAGGACGGGAGTGCGACAAGGCTGTCTACTATCACCAATGATATTCCTGATTGCAGTAGATTGGATAATGCGACAGACAACGGCAACCAACGAGGGAACGGGCATAAAATGGACTCACACAAAAAACTTGAAGGATCTGGACTTCGCCGATGTGATATATATGTCTGATTTCCCACAAACTGGAAGATATGCAAGTGAAAAGTAACAAGTTGGCAGAAGAAGCATCCAGAGAAGATAGGACTTCAAGTGAACATAGATAAAACAGAGGTGATGAAGATTCCTAGCCAACATCAACACCAACACCGGCAACAACAACAGACAACAATCAGCCAGCATAAATGGGAGGAACCTGAAAGAAACAACCTCCTTCACCTACCTAGGAAGCATCGTTTCAACTACAGGCGGAACTGACGAGGATATCAAAGCCAGAATCGGAAAAGCAAGACAAGCTTTCATTACTCTCAAATCTGTGTGGAGGTCAACAGCACTCAGCATCAAAAATAACATCCGGATTTTCAACTCCATTGTGAAGTAAGTGCTACCCAATATACGGATCAGAGACTTGCACTACGAGTCATAAAGAGCATCTCAAACAAACTTCAAACCTTCATTAACAACTGTCTCCGCTCAATACTCAAGATCAGATGGCCAGAAAAGATCAGCAACAGGGATCTCTGGCAATGAGCGAACCAACCCAACAGGAACCGATTGTGAAACAAATAGGCAGAAAGAAATGGAGATGGATTGGCCACACGCTGAGGAAACCATCAAGTGACATCACTAGACAAGCCATTGCTCGAGTGGAACCAGGCCGAAAGGGAGGCGGCGAGTTGGTCGTCAGTGCAAGGGTGACTTGGAGGAGGTCATGCGACGAGGAGATGAAAGCATGTGGACAGACCTGGAGCGGGGTGAAAAAGTTGTCAGAAAACAGAAGGCAATGGAGGTGCGCAGCTGAAGCCCTATGTTCCTCTAGGAACTAAAGGATACAATAATAATAATAATTTCTATAGTTTATCCAGACTGATGAAACCAATTCCCTACAATACTACATGTATTTAAACATTATCGGTTGTTTATCTTTCATCCCACCTATGACCTTGAAATCCTATTGGTTGCTGATTTTTTAATTCACCAATGTATCTAGTGTCCCTCAGGGTCATTCAAAGCTTATAAATACGCAAGCGCTGTCAACCGTTTTGACTGGTGATACGAGACAGTTAAAGCTCTCCAAGTCAATGCTCTGTCTTCTCTTCTTGTCTTCTTGGGTCGAGTTTTTGATGGTATCGCATCTGTTGTTATTTTCGCTGCTGTTGCTGCTAGCGGTCAGAACAATAGGCTTGTGCATCGACTAAGTAGTAAATTCATTATCGCAACTTCCGAGTGTATTAACGATCACATCAATGAGGATTTCCTTAAATCCCAACATGAAGATTTTTTTCATTTAACCAGTGTAACGACAGAAGACAACGGCCAGGAAACATCGTTTATTGAGAAAATCAACAGATATTTATAGATTTTCCTGTACATTATTGTCAGCGGAGAAGCGAGCTCTTCTGATTGGTTGTTTTATTCCTGAAGTTTATTCTGTTATCTCTTTTTTGCCATTTTTTTAGACAGTCCGTTGATATATCTGATAATCGTATCCGCCCACGCTAAGTCTGCTGTAGTTGGTAGTTGAGTTCCTCAAGTTTAGGCTTTGTTCTTGTTTTTTCTCATGACCAAGATTCGGGACGTAAACATTGACGTCAGTTGGTTTCTACAATTTCAGCTAGTAGACAGTACTGATGATATATCTATGATGGCGAATATCTTTTAGTTCTTGACCAAAACATAAGGATGGGAATCGAACTGCTATCAGCAAACTGTTTTCTCCCTATTACATAAACAAACAACAGTGATTCTTCTATATGAAGATGCTAACAAATATACGCAGAGAGACTTTTGAATAACCTGATTAGAAATATCAGTATTTCTAGGTCATTTGTGTACATCCACTATTATTTTAAGGATAGAGATCCGAATTACTGGATAAATTGGTCAGTTGTTTGTTTTTTCGGGGACTACTTCATTATATAGTGAACTGATAGTTAGTGCCGAAATTTCATATTTGAAGGTAGTGTGATTGTGGTGTGTGTGAGCTGTCTGCAAGCCAAAATTGCTGATATGTATCCACATATATATATTTATGTGTGTGTGTGCATGTTGGTCTCTCTTTCTGTTTGCTCGGTTAGTCTGTGACCACTTCACTTGTATGGACTTGTCTCCTTTATTAATGTGTATTCTCCTTATATTATATTATATATAATATGAGTGTTTGTTGACAGTCCGTTGCTTGGTGACATATATCCATATATGTTTGTTGGCATGTCTGCTATATTCGCTATGTATAATTGGATCGACACTCCATTATAATTAGCCATTCATGTTAAGACTGTCTAATGATTTTTCCCACGCTTGTCTGAATTATTTATATATATTCGCATTCACAATTTGTGTGAACTACTTTACATTTAAACTACTTGACTTGCTTACCACTTTGGTGTGAGACCATTTATTTTCGTCTCCTTGTGTTTGGACAATAGAAGTATCATCGCAAACCTAGTGGTCTTCTGATTTCCGCCTTCTCGCGTCAGGACTATTAGTTTCTCGACCAGTCCATAACAATAATTCAGCGACGAGTACATAACAATTTGGCGACGGGGAAAACTAGTACATAACAATTTGGCGACGGGGAAAAACTACTATTAACCACTCAGCAGCAGCAACATAACAATTTACTATGGATTATTCTAAATTGGAATTATTGTTTGAACAACAATTGAAATTAATGGAAATGTTCGTCAACCAACAGACTGGTCCAGCTCCACCTTCAAGCAATCCCAATCATACCATGCTACCATCTGTCGACGGAATTGTGAACAGCATTTCACAGTTCAATTATGACCCAGAGGCTAATGTCACTTTTGACACATGGTATCAACGTTATGAGGATTTATTCACTGTTGATCTCGCCTCACAAGACGATGCCTGGAAGGTGCGAGTTTTGCTACGTAAATTGGGTCCGGCAGAATATGAACGGTACTGCAACCTAATTTTACCACAGAAACCACGTGACAATTGTTTCGATGATACAATAAAGTTGCTGCGTGAACATTTCGGAGACCACTCCTCATTATTCAGTATACGTTATCGTTGCCTCAAGCTGGCAATGAATGAAAATGATGATTTTCTTACTCACGTTGGCACAGTCAACCGAGAATGTGAGAGATTTCGACTCAGGTCCTTAACAGATGATCAGTTCAAAGCCTTGATTCTCATATGCAGTCTCCAATCTCCTCGTTTCACAGATATCCGAACTCGACTGCTCAATCAGCTAGAACAAAATCCCAAGTTAACATTACATGACATAGCTGATGAATATCAACGGCTGATTAATCTGCAGAAAGACACACACTTGGTCGAATCAACACCTCCGAGAAGCTCTGATATTCGTGCATTACGAAAGAGCAAAAATCTCTCATCAGCTACTCCTGACCCACCTACTTCTCTAATGTTCCGCGGAAATCTACACATACTCGTCCAACTTCACAAAATACTGCAAAGAAGACCCCACCATCACCATGCTGGCATTGTGGCGCGTGGCACTTTGTAAAGTCTTGCCCATACAAAAATCATCGTTGCAGCAAGTGCAAAATCATCGGTCATAAAAATGGTTTTTGTCAGCCACGCCAACCCAGATATCATAATCCAGCAAAAGCTCAACAAAATGTCGGTCCTAAATCTCCAAAAAGATCACTGAGTCTACGTGCAACCTGTCAAGTCACAACACCAGCTATGCGGAAATATATTGACCTTCAGATGAATGGTCATGATACTCGTCTGCAGCTAGATACTGCCTCTGATATTACTGTTATATCAGAGAAACTTTGGAATTATATTGGCAGACCACCTATCACCAATACTTCCCAGTCTCTTCTCAGCGCCTGTGGTGGGCGGCTCAAACTAATTGGTGAACTCAAATGTTCTGTTTCCTTCCGCAATACCAAATTCACAGGAATTTGTTACGTCACGAAGAATGATTTAAATGTTTTGGGACTTGATTGGTTCGATCGTTTGCATCTGGCTGATGTCCCACTAAATTCTCTACGCAATACAGTGAAGAAGCATAAAATGCTAGACAATTCCGGACGGAGCCGAAGCCGCAAACCCAACAATCAGACGAAACGACAGGCGTCAACAACAAGCCCAAAGGTCCCAGATAAACCCCCAGGTAAACATCCTACTAATCATCCATCTTCTCAAAAGGGGAGGTGATATGTATCCACATATATATATTT